TAGACCCATCCGCATTTGCTGCTGATTAGAACACTCTTTAATGAATATAAATTAAGGGGCGCCTAAGCTACAGGCTTTGAGTGCGGTTTCAAAAGGTCCATATTTGAATGATTAAATGGTGTACAAATACTACCTTATGTGAACATTCTCATTCAAACCTTTATATTATACAACTACTGTTTTTCAAAAACATGAACCGGTTTTAAACAATGAACTTAAAAAATAATAATTTTAACATGATTTGGAAAAACTGATGAGTGCTTTAGGAACAGGGACAAGGAGTTTACCAGAAACAAGAAAGTAACAAGTGCTTCAATAATACCTTCTTTTAATAAATTTGTAAATTATGTATATAATTTGATTACACAATGCTAAAACTACTAATTAACGTTAACTTAAAAGGTCAAGGGTAATAGAACTTTGAGATACCGGTTATTTTAATATATCATAAAATTAAAAAAATAGAAATTTTTAAATAGTAACTAAATAAAATATTTTAACCGGTCAATATATAATGTATTTTAATGGTAATATCCCTTGGGTGCTTTAATTTAAATATCCAATGATGATGACAATGGTGATCTGGCAACAATGCAATGAATAAGTTGGATATTCATTACTAGTGCTTAAGGATCATAATTCATTTAGATTTTCAACATAAGTCTTTAACTTAACTAAAAAACAAGAGGTTCGTTTAAAATCGTTCTCCATTTTATATTTTCTCTTACGTGAGCGTTAAAAGTAAAAAAGAACAAGTTAACAAAAAACTACTAAATACAAAAAGAGTACAACTAAATTATTTAATTTTTTTTCTAATCTTAAACACCGTCCTTGTAGCTAATGTTTGGGGTTGTTCAAGATAAACTTCCAACTATTGTTAGAAATATGTAATATTTTTGTTAAATATTACACACTGAATAGTGCTAATATGCTTAAGAGCAGAGTTGTCAATATAAAGGCAAAGGTACCTAATAACTTATAGTTAATAATAGCTACGTTCGTCAGAACCAGAAACCAATATTTTGCTTTCTAACAAACATACGTTCTAAGAAAATGGAAAGATAATAATAATATATAGCAACAATTGAACAAATAGAGTATCAAATGAAAAAAATGGAGTAAAAACGTTTATATGTAAATATTTGCTTTGGTTTTTATGTACGCGGATCCGTTAAAAAGTTTGAGTTTAAGACAAAGTTTTAGTTGCTAAGGACAGACAGGTAAATAAATAAAACTAAGTGCAAATTATTTTTAATTATATAAGAGTATGACAACTGTGTACGCATATATTAAAGTTGTCCCTATAAGCGCTAAACTAAGAATAAATTTCCTAGTTTATCATGAAACACGAAACAAATTAAGTACAAACAGTGACGAATCTACCAGTTATCGATAATTATTTGATTAAAATATCAAAATTTTTCGAAAACTATTATCTAAAATATTAGTAAAAAAAATATACTTAATTAGTCCTACTCCGTGCCGGTGAGCAATCAGATGATTTGATTAAAGAACTCAACGCTACTGAATTTATAATTTTGTTTGCTTTTAATAGATTACTTTCTTTATCTGTAATTGAAAGTTATTAAAATCAGTAGAAAACAACCAAACCGTACCAAAAGGCCTTTAGCAAAAACGTAGCCATAGAGGTTGCAAAAGAGATGCTTGGCAACGTAGCGGAGAGCCCAACATACTTCAAACGCATTACTGGTGACGATATGTGGGTTTATGAATATGACGCCACAACTGTCAAAAATAAGCTAAAACCGAAAAACCACGTGATTAACGTGATGTGGTTCAGTATAAATTCATTCCACAGGGCGAAACGGCCAATAAGAATACACGATAATGTGCCATCACATTCTAGCATGATTGTGATCGACTTTTTGGTCAAACACGAAACGAGTGTCATCGCTCAGCCACCGTATTTACCAATTTTGGCTTCCTGTGACCTTTTTCTGTTTTCAGAACTGAAAAATCCAGTTCGTGGAACACGCCATAAGTCCACTAAAGCCATTAAAAGTCATTCGTTAAAGGCACTTTGACTGAAGCTGTCTTTCAGAAAATAGTGACAAATCTTTAATAGATAAGTAAGTATATTTACCATTATCTTAAATCTAACGGAAAACCTGAAGATACGAAACTCATAGAATAAGCTCAAACAAACATCTGCCGAGTTGTGTGGAAACTGTATTTATTAACAATGTAAATGATTGTGTGAAGCTAAGTAAATTTAAGTAAAGTATTATGTAACGTACTGTATATTTGTACACTGCCTTGCATGGGCGCGTAGCTTCGAAACAGCTATTGACTAAACGACATGAGCGCGATGAGCCAATATTTTAAGTCAAACTCATAAACGTTAAAAATAATTTATTGTGTAGATGTTTGTGAAAAGAAATTGCGACTTGAACATTTCACGTTTGAGATAATTTGCAAATGCGAAGTTTGCATAACTGTAAACTCAAATTCGTTGTGGTGGCAATTAACACATTATAGCAAGTTAGCGATCGTTTGACTTTGTAGAAAATTTATCAGCTGGTGGGTGATTTAAACTATGATGGGATTTTAAATGCAGAAGGGGGCAAGCTGAAGTTATTTTTGTCGATTGTGTTAGTAAAAATGCGATACTAATTCGAACGGGAATTCTGAAAATGCAAGTAATTTAGTTTGAAAAACTAATCATTAAAGATTTGTTCTTAGAAATTTATAAATATGCGCAAAAGTCATGCAGGTGAAAAGCAAATGATTGTGAACTTCTAAATGATTTGTGAGATAGTTTCGCTTTCGGCGTATGTGTTTAATTAACTATAAAATATTTTTTATTATTAAATTTATATACCATTGAAAACTCAGGATCTGCCGCCAGAAAAAACTATATAAATAAAAAAATTTTGTGAAAAATAACAGGAAATCTTCGAGTGTGAGGCCTATTCTAACAAAAGACTGAAAATTCTACAAATATAATATGTGGTCGAAAAGTTGAAAGATGGCTTAAGTCGGTTACGAGGTTAGGTGAGTATAGCATTTTCAATATATGGACAATTTTCTTAATTACATTTAGCGTCGAAGCGTAGCAGCTAAACAGAAACTATAATACTTAATATAATCGAATCTGATAACCAATACGTTGCCTTAAAATGCTTTGAAGTTGTCAGCCCACTTGTTATATATGTTTATGTATGCATATTGACATTGAAATAATATTTCGCTAGAGCCAATATACAAATTCAAAATACAAAAGCTGCCTAGGTACAGAATTCCCCGGTTATATACACTTCAAAAATTACTTAATTTTTGGTTCAATTAACCGGGAAATCAAATCGTTTAATTGAACAATTCGTTCAATTAGAGGAATCCCTCTTATTTAGACTTATATTATTCACGTAATCAATTAAAATAAGTAAGGAAGGGCTAAGTTCGGATGTAACCGAACATTTTATACTCTCGCAAAGTCAAATCGTATATATATAAAATATACTCGTTTGTGGACTGTGTTCCACATATTCAGTACCTAGGGGCTTGAACAGTTTTGGTTCGATTTAGACAATTTTTGGTCACAAGGTGGCATACTTTAAACGTATTATTCACGCAAAGTTTTATCCCGATACAGTCATTGTTGCCAGATTTCCATAGTGGAAAGTGAAAGAAGCAGATGGAATTTAAAATGGTGTTATATGGGAAGTAGACGTGGTTGTAATCCGATTTCGCCCATTTTCGCACTATACCATAGAAGTATGAAAAGAATATTATGTACCGTTGGTTGAAATCGATTGAGCAGATCTCAAGATATGGGTTTTCACCTAAAAATGGGCTGTGCCACGCCCACTGTCTAATTTTGAACGCGGTTCCTATAAAGTCATCTCATTTCATCCCAGCGATAAAATTTAATGTCTCTGGCGTGTTTAGTGCTTGATTTATTGCGCTTTTAGTAGTTTTTAAGAGTACCGTTATATGGGGAGTGGGCGGAGTTGCCACCCGATTTCAACTATTTTCACACCGTCAATAGAAGTGCTAGAAACATTTGCTTCCAGTGAACTTTGTTATTATAGCATTGGCTGTTTAGGAGATATGCACATTAAACCTATTAGAGGCGGGACCACGCACACTTTTAACTGCAGATGCCCCTCCTTAATGTGATCCTGTGTACCAAATAACAGTCTTGTATCTTATTGCGGAGCTTAGTTATGGCAATTTATTTGTTTTTGATTAATGGCGTTTTGTGGGCGTGGCAGTGGTCCGATTACGCCCATCTACAATACCAACCGTCTCACGGTACCAAGAAACATGTCAATTAAGTTTCATAAAGATATCTCAAATTTTGTCTGTCTGTCCGAAAACGATCTGTAATTTTGCACACGTCTTATTCTCCCAAAGAATAATTTTTAATAGCCGTAGATATCGAGTCACCATAGAATATAATGCATACTTATGACTGGGTATAACTTATGACTGATTATTTGACAGAGCATCTTGACGAAATCTGGCATGGATTATTATCCACGGTAAGGCAACAATTTTCGAACTTATTGTTCAGATCAGACCACTTTAGCATACAGCTGCCATTTGAAGTGACTGCCGGTGCAGCCGAAGTTATAAGTTCTGTATATTGTACTTACACACATATGTATATACAAACGAAGGCAACAAATGATGCTACGCTGTTCAAGTAAAAATTTCTAAAATTTGTGCATGAAGTTGATGTTCTCCAGACCAATGAGTCAAACTGAAGTAAAGACTAGCCCTACTAAACTTCTGCGTTTCTGCAGAAGTAAGAGTGCGTAGCGACTGATAACATTTCAAGATGCTACTCAATTTTGTTATGTTCTGAAATAATATTTACACATATGCATATGTATATGCACTCTTATTCATAATAAGCATATTAACTCCATACACCACATGTATGTACATACATATTAGTATTATAACCAAAGCAGTTAATAAAAGCAAAGTACAGTAAAACACTTCCGAATCAGCATAATTGTTGTAGCACTCACCAGAAACAAACAGGTGAACAACAACAGCGGTAAAGCCGGCCGCGAGCTCCAAGAAATTGTGTGGAACATTTTAAAACTTCTGAATCACCGCAATACGCTTTGTCACAGCAATAAATTAGGCGTTGTACTCAAGACACAAGGCTTACTTGGTGCACAGCACAAAAAAAGGTTATAAATTTTTTTTTTTTTTAATTTGGCACACTTTATAGAATTTTTCAGAGGCTTGAGTATGCCTTGTACACCTTTATCACATCCGCGACATCAAAGCGTGCGTCGTGTGCGCCCAAGCGAAAATTCAAATCCGCACTCAGACTGATATTTCCACTGGATATACGTTTGTTTGTACAGGCTTAGGTGTCTACAAATAACCGAAACCCGAATAAACACGCTTTATTGCTTCCTACTTTACCTAAAAGTAAATGTGTTTATTTCGTTTGCTTCTTTTCACTACACTTGTTCATAAATTTTTGTTTCTGCTGTCTGCTTATTAAATTATCAGTTTATTATGTTGATTTTATTTAATTTGTTTTTCACTTTTGCTTTGTCAATCGACAGCGTAATCCGTCGATAATCGCTGAGCGCTGGTCGAGCTCCGTTCGCCGAGCGTTGCTTGTTCAACCGTCACAGCTGGGGCCACGACTGATAGTGAGTACAGTGTGGACGCCACAACAAAGCTTCAACTGAGCTTCCAAGTTTCAAGTCCAACGCTGATTGCTGCCTTTTGTTATTCTTCTCGATTGTGGAGACTATCGCACGCAATCAAAGCGACAGTGACTTGAAATTGTACTTAAACGCTCTCCAAACCGATCCGTGGCTTCGGTTCGCGCTCTCAACCTTACAATCGGTGTCCACACTATTTAAATGACAGTTGATTGCTGCGAAGAGAAGAGGTAAGTTAAATGTTTGTTTGTTAAGCTTTCGATTTTTTTAGCTCTTTCATATTTATACCTATAAAACTGTATACCGTTCGCTGATCATGAGCATTTGGCTGAACCCTTCTCATTTAGTAATGAATGCCTAACTATATTTAGCATTCACTCAATCAGTTTTTGCCTCAGACAAAGCACAAATTACTTTAATAAGTACAAAGAATTGGAATCTCTATTTAGATATAATTTATTAGGTTTTACTGTTTAATATAGCGTGAACGGAACAAGTATTTTATTAGAAATTTCCGTAATGCATTCATTGTAACAAGCTAGATCGCATGAATCAAGTGATCCGAACAACAGGTAATGATTAATATAAGATATTTTGGTTTGAGACAGAGAACCAATAAGTGAATATCTAATCAAACACCTCTGAAATGAGTATAATTTGAGAAATGTGTAACGAATGTCTCGGAAAGTAGGGGTCAAGATTATTAAAACTGACCCAAATCAGTCCAGAAGAAGTTTTTTACTTTCACATCTCCTTATTACTTTTTAAAGAGCAAACCTCTTTGTGTGGTTTTTCTAAGAAACTAATTCGAAAATCGGCGCGTACAGTTTTTTAAATGTATTTTAATTAAATATATTTTCGAAATATTGTATTTAATATTACTAATTTTTATATTCCAAATATTTGCAAAAATAACTAATATCTGGTTCCGCTCGAAATTTGTTTTTTGGATTATCAATAAAAATTATGGGAGTTACCAACTGAATTACTACTACTTCAATATGCAATAGAAGAAGAACGACTAATGGAACCTTTACATTTTTAAGTTATATTTAATGAGAGCTGCTATATTGTATATATAAAAGCAAAAAAAAATATTTTTAACGTATACATAATAACAATAACGACAGTATGAGGTATAATCTTAATAAATTATACAAAAGCTTTATAATCAAAAGTCGCTTAAGAAAACTTAGGGCACATATCTCTTATATTGGAATACAGTATATTCATATAGTCAAATGTCTCTTAATTTGATATTAGCTGTAGTCCTCTCGTTATTTCTTTGCTCACTAGCTTTGCGCGCTGCTCTCTTGTCAAAATATGAATTTAGTCAAAAGAAGGTAAAAAAACAAATATTCTTAAAGCAACTAAGGAAGGGATAAGTTCGGGTGGAACCTAACATTTTATACTCTTGCAACTTGCAAGGATCAATGCAAAGAAAATATCCTCAGGTTTTAGGAAAACTTTATATTAAACAAGTAAGGAAGGGCTAAGTTCGAAGTAACCGAACATTTTATACTCTCGCAAAGTCAAATTTTTGTGGATTGGCTGATATTTTCGGTAGAAGGTCAACTATAGGCACTGGAGTCCACATATTTAGTACTTAGGGGCTTGAACAGTTTTGGTTCGATTTAGACAATTTTTGGTTACAAGGTGGCATACTTTAAACGTATTATTCACGCAAAGTTTTCCCCCGAAATAATCATTGTTGCTTGATATGCATGGTGGAAAGTGAAAGAATCAGATGGAATTGAAAATGGTGTTATATGGGAAATAGGCGTGGCTGTAGTCCGATTTCGCACTATAACATAGAAATATGAGAATAACGTTATTTACCGAATTTTGTTGAAATTGGTTAAGCAGATCTCAAGATATGGGTTTTCACCTAAAAGTGGGCTGTGCCACGCCCACTGTCTAATTTTGAACGCGGTTCCTATAAAGTCATCTCATACCATCCCAGAGATAAAATTTAATGTCTCTGGCGTGTTTAGTGCTTGATTTATCGCACTTTTAGTAGTTTTTAACAGTACCGATATATGGTGAGTGGGCGGAGTTGCCACCCGATTTCAACTTTTTTCACACCGTCAATAGAAGTGCTAAAAACATTTGCTTCCAGTGAACTTTGTTATTATAGCATTGGCGGTTTAGGAGATATGCACATTAAACCTATTAGAGGCGGGACCACGCCCACTTTAAAAAAAAAATTTTAACTGCAGATGCTCCTCTCTAATGTGATACTGCATACCTAATAACAGTCTCGTATCTTATTGTCTAGCTTAGTTATAACAATTTATTTGTTTTTGATTAATGGCGTTTTGTGGGCGTGGCAGTGGTCCGATTACGCCCATCTACAATACCAACCGTCTCACGGTACCAAGAAACATGTCTACCGAGTTTCATAAAGATATCTCAATTTTTACTCACGTTAGAGCTTGCGCGGACGGACAGACAGTCACCCGGATTTCAACTTGTCTCTTCATCCTGATCATTTATATATATATAACCCTATATCTAACTCGATTAGTTTTCGGTGATACAAACAACCGTTAGGTGAACAAAACTATTATACTCTGTAGCAACAGGTTGCGATAGTATAAAAATTTGCGAAAAAACATTCATTATTCGGCGAAATCGTCAGTGGATTACAATCAAATTTGATCCTTTTTTTTTAATTTAAATTACAGTTTTATATCACTTAGTTTTATTACTATATTTTACTTCCCGTCAGCGAAAATTATCTTCGAATGAGATGTATGGGATATAACCTCAACTGAAGATGCTAAATTTAATATGATGAGTTGATATGAACACGTCAAGCAAAATATCGAAATTCCTTATTTTAGGGATACAAGGTTTGGACCAAAGTCTAGCCCAATTTAATTCTTATTCCCATTTATTCATTCATTTAATTTTATTTAAGTATCACACATTTTGTCAGGTGAAAATCAATAAATGCAGGGGGTATTCGTAGACTAAATTCGCATTATTTCGGCATTAAACCAAATATTATATGTTAAACTATATTATATCAAATATTATACGTTCGGTTTACTTTGCTAAGATATCTTACTTTTTGACTGATATATTGTATATGGTATAAGGCCAACCGGAAGTTAGAAAATCTTAAATTTGGTATATGAGAGATTGGGGTAATATTGACCCGATTTTATCTAATTATGGCAATACAACATACTATTAACATAATACTCCCTGAGGTCATTAAGGTACCTCACTTACCATCACCAACATATATGGAGTAAGATCAACCGGATATTTGAAAATTCTGAGATTTGTTATATGAGGGCTGGGACAAGTTTTCACCCGATTTTATTCACTTTAGGCACAAAGGTTAAGCATTGTAAGGAAAATGCATCCACTTAATTTTATTGAAATAGCTCACATATTAGCCGATATATGCGGTATGAAGTAAACCATAAGTTCAAAAATATTTCGATAATGTATATGGGAGTAAAACAAGTATTGACCTGATTCAATGCCCTTTCGATATACTTACATACTATTATCAGAAGAGACTCTCTCACAATTGCAATAATATATCTCACAAATTGTCCGTTATTTCCAGTAAAAAGTTAGCACCAGGCACTGGGGGCTTATCACCGTATTCCGTAACTGGGGGCTTAACAGTTGTGGGCCGATTTTGACAATTTTTAAACTTGAGATGGTATACCTCAAAAGCACTATTTGTGCAAGGTCTTGTCCTAATATATTCTTTGGTGCTTGCTTTGTATAGTGGAAAGTGAAAGAATCATTTAAATTTCAAATTGTGCTAGATAGGAAGTAGGTGTTGTTTTAGTTGCTCATTTTCGATCTTTGTAAGATGGTATTGTTAAAATAATTGTAAGTACCAAATTTTGTTTAAATTGATCAAGCAGTTTCGGAGATATAAGATTTCGTTATTCTGTGCAAATATAATTTGAAGGGCTTAGGAGGAACACACATTTAACTTATTAGGAGGCAGGGCCATGCCCACTTTTGAAAATTTTTTCAGTCATAGATGGCCCGGCTCAACACAATATTTTGTACCAAATAATAGATATATATCTTAATCAAGGTGGCAACACTTCAAGCTCTAAAGCTGTAATAATGTTCCTAAGTTTTGTGCATTATTAAAAAGTTTAAACTTTCGAATTTTTGGTGCCTTTTTTTGTTTCATTTTGTTTTATTTTATTCTATTTTCTCTCTTTATTTATCTTATTTACTTCTTTGTTCACAGCTGTGCTGCGTTTAGCTTTTTATTTGTTCCAGTGCTTCTAAAACAGCTCGCTATATTGCTTTTTCAAACTGTCATGGTTTTAAACTTTAATAAAAGAAAATTGCTATTATTTTTGCGTTTGTTCTTAATTGAATTTATTATTATTATTATTTTATTAACACACTAATTTATTATATATCTATTAAATTTTGTGCTACATACTCTTTTATTTGATCTTCATTCTTGTTGTTTATTATGTCTTGTAACTTCCCTCCCTAAACTCTATCTAATAGTAATAAGTGTCTCACAATTCCAGAAGCTCCCCCTAATAACTTAGTAGCATCAGTTAATAATTTGATAGTTATTCCACCTAAAAAGTCTATATTTATTTCGAGACTTGCCAAGGATACCTTGGTGGAGGAAATTAAGTCTTACATTTCGTCACGTTTAAAAATCGATGATATCAATATCAGTAAGTTTAACTTTTATGATAGAAGTATATCATCGTTTAAAAAGATCTTAGATAGTTCATCTTAGATAGTTCATTCTGGCCACCTGGGGCTTTTGTAGGCGAATTTAAATCTAAACTCAGAAGTCAAACTGAGGAAAACATTGTTAAATTACCAAAAGCAACCACCGATATAAAAAACTGATTGGTAGAAATTGGTAAAAACCTCACATTTTTGATAATGAGATTTTAAACAGCGAATTTCAAATTTTTAGATGTGATCGACTGAACAGAATCGGTGGAGGTGTTCTATTTGCCGTGCATTCCTCTATCCCATCTGAAAATATTCTCGTTCCAGGGACCGACTCATTTGAATTTAAATGTATAATATTAGAGTATACGTTAATAATAAAAAGTATACGTTAATAGTAATAGTTGCTTTATTTATTTAACCCTATCTTATATACCACCCCATTCGGACTTATCTGTATACATGCAGCATGCTTCTTTAATAAATAGTGCTACCTCGATGGCAAATAATGCAGATTCAATAATTGTATTAGGTGATTTCAATTTACCGTGTGCTTCGTGGAAACCTTTCGATGACTATATCGTGCCGATTTGCAATCGGTCATGTTTTAATGAGTTTTTCGAAAAAACGTCCGAGTTGGGTCTGAACCAAATTAATTTGATTCCGAATAAATTTGGTAAATGCTTAGATTTAGTATACGTTGATACCTCTTCAAAGTGTTCCGTTATTCAGAGTAATCCTCTTGTTCTACCAGAGGACTCATATCATCCTGCTTTGGAAATATCTGTCGAAATCTCAGGCATTGTACGGGATAATAATCATCAAACTTCGTGCTTCTGTACTCGGTTTAACTTTGCAAAAGCTAATTTTAAAAAGTTAAATACAGAACTTTCTACAATAACATGGCCTAATTATAATGGTGACATTGAATTGAGTGTCTCTCATTTTAATAACATTATTATGAAATTATTTGAAAAGTATGTTCCAATAGTAATTGTTAATAAAAGCAAAAGTATAAGTCCGTGGTTTTCGAAAGAGTTATATAAATTGAAAAACAGAAAAACTCGAGCCTTTAAACATTTTAAAAAAACCGGTTCACTTGTCGACTATTCTAAATATTCGCTATTGCGTCGACAATATTTTGACCTAAACAAAAAATGTTATAATAATTACTTAAATAAAGTTAAAAAAAATATTGTAAGTAATCCAAAATCGTTTTATGATTTCGTCAACTCCAAACGCAGGATTTCCAAATTTCCGTCCGCAATGAAATACAAATCTATCATTTCAAGTGACAATGATATTATATCCAATATGTTTGCAGAATT